TTGGTAAGTTTCTTTAAATATTTTACAGTTTTTATAAGGCAAAAGGCATGTTTTGAACAAGGCGAAACTATAGGAAGTGGTTGTAAGTCCGACATTTCCATAATCATAATTAAACTCGTTAAATATAAAACCGCGTAAATTTTATTGAATTTCTAGCAAATCCTTCGTATTCTTGTGGTTTAGGCACCCGTGTTGCATGCGCCAGCTCGCGGATCGATTCCTGCTCGCGCCGCTATTTTATTAATTTTTTTATACTTTTTCTTCTTCCTGGTTTTCAGAAGTTTTTACAATTTCCGGTTAGGTTAGGTTAGGTTAGGTTAGGTTAGGTTAGGTTAGGTTAGGTTAGGTTAGGTTAGGTTAGGTTAGGTTAGGTTAGGTTAGGTTAGGTTAGGGGGTTAGGTCAGGGTTAATTTTCAGGGTTAGAGTTCCGTTTAGTGCTTTAGTGTTAGGTTAAGGCCTTCAGCCGGGAAGCAAGAAGGTCCAGTGTCGGACCTATATAAACCACGGCGAAAACTACAACATTGTCAATTGATTGTTGAACGTTTAGCTCGTACGATTTAGGTTTGATGAGACTAAAAAAGCAATCCGCGTTGAAACACAACGGAACTTGTTAATCCCCGAGCCGACGGCGCGAAGCGCCGTGCGAGAGTACTAATTTCCCCCGGCTATTTACACCAGGGGAAACGAGAGCATTAGCGAAGTCCAAAGTTCACCAATGATTGCGGGCGTGGCTCACTGTGCGTGGGTGGTCATCCTCACTGATCGCAAAAATATGGCGGACTGTCATTGGTCCAATTTAAAGTTTGCATTATAACGACTGCATGACGACAGCGAAATAGCAAACATTTCTTGATTTGATGATTGATAAATTTCTTGCAAATATATTTCATTTTTGCTCGCATTTTTGCAAGATTTTGTAAATTTCAAGAAAGACTAGAAAGGGCGAAAGAATCAGCTAAAAGAAGGGAGTCGACGTTAACGAAGGTAAGTTTGTTTTAAATATTGATTTTCTAATTGCTTTAAAACCCGACGGCCTTTGCGTAAACAAGACAGCATATAATTTCAGTGCATCTTTAATATTGATTCCCTTTTTTATTATATTGATTTTTTTAAATAAAAATGAAAGCAAAGTCATTTAATTAAAGGCAGTTTAGTTTTATATAAAAGAACACTTTAAAACGTTTTGCGAAGCGTTTGTGGTTGAATTTTACCTTAAATGGAAGCTTATATTACGTATAATATCATACCTAACATACATAATTATTTTGGGAAATTGATAATTTTGTAATTATAAGTGATATTTTTAGGCAATTTTTCATTTGTAAGTATATACTTAAAAAATTATCGTGTTACCATGACAACTACTTTAGATACTTGATGTTCGGAAAATACAATGGTTTTGTCAGCAAGGCGAGGGTTTCTGCATGCATGTATTTTCTAGTATTTGCATATTTTGAGCTTTATACTGCCCTCTTTACTTCCTGTTGTTAGAATAAACCGAAAAACTTTCATATTCATTGTCTATATATCTTACTATTATCGAAGACAACAATATATTAATGAATAATGAATTTGCCGGTGTTTGTATGTTTTGAAAAAGTGCCTTAAATTCCTTTATTTTTGAAAACAGAAATCCAACAGAAACTATCCTAAATATAATATTAAATTTTGCTGCCTAGTACACGGGTATAAACAAGCAAATTAAAATGGAATAGGAAGTTTCGAACGGAAACTACAATATATTTTGCCGATGTTTAATGGTGTCTTTGATTAAGAGTGAGACTAATCATTAAACTGACAGCAAAGCCGCTTTGAAACAAAAACATTTGTTGTATATTCTAGCATATACTTAAGGTCAAAATAAGTCGAAAAAATCCTTGCCTATATCCATGCTTATTTTTCTTAATATTATGGATCTCAAACACCAAAATATTAGCGAATTTGTGCTCCTATACGATTTGAAATAGTGCCTTATTGAATTGCCTTTGTTTTTAAAAAAAAGTCGAGAATGCACCCCTAGAATTTGCTCGCCAAAATTTTTATCCCCTCAAAGACAAATGGTGTTATTTTAACCCAAATATTGGAGTAAAAAGGTTTTACACCCTTAGAATCTGCTCGCCAAAGTTTTTAACCCCTTAAAGGGTGTTATTTTAACCCCAATATTGGAGTTAAAAGGTTTATTATAATTTACACTCTTAGAATCTGTTCGTCAAAGTTTTTAACCCCTCAAAGGTTGTTATTTAACCCCAATATTGGAGTTAAAAGAGCTCAAACTTTTTAACACCCCTAAAAAATCCTTTCAAGGGGGATAAAATTAAAACCCTGAAGTTTATATTTAGAAATTTGGGCAAATTTAGAGTAAAAATGCGGGAAAGATAAAAGAAAACCGGGAATGTATTAAAGATGCCCAGAATATAAAAGTGTCCCGCCGCCTCTGCTATACACTAGCACATGAATACAGATCATTATGGACATTAATCTTCAACGACCTGTGAATAATAGTCTGCACGCAGCTGTCGTATGCACTTACATGCATGCATGGAACTGATACGTAACGCATATTGATTGGTTTTTATGAGCCAAGTCAACCTAATCCGCATCTTGATTTGCTTTGATATCTGAATTAATGTTATAATGTATATTCTGTGATAACATTATTTCGTCTTACAACGTAGCCCGCGTGTATGTGATTAGTGAGTTTACGATTCACGACGTGGCCAGCTCGACGACGCGCTTACAAAGCAAAGAAATACGTCATGCGAGCTGAAAAGGGATGAATAATTTGCGGTCTCAAAAGTTTCATCGACAGCGTTGCCATTCTTGGGACACCGTCAAAAGAGTAATTTTCACGTTTTCCTAGCGATATCAAAGCTCGTTGCGACATGGGAGCTGTTTTATAACGTTGACAGAATGCCAACATCAGCTAAACAGGGGAGTAGTTTAGACCAATTTAAACATTTGTAAGATTATTAAAACATGTTTAGACAATTAAAGCAGTATAGTTAAATTCCTGTGGCTTATTTCAAGCATAAATTGACTCGACGTCGTCGAGCTGACCGCGTCGTAGATCGTAAACTCCCCAATGACGCTTTTGGAAGTGTTCGTTCGGCATGTGAGTGTCTTGTCTATCTTGTTGCCTTTTATATTTTCCTTTCTGGTAAACCGCTAGTGAACAATCAAGTAAGCTTGATTTTTTCGTAATTTGATTAATAAACACTGTCGGCAGATATAAGCCGAAGAAATATCCGATACCTGCGAAAGGTAATTGCTCGAGCTTACATCGCATAGTTTGTTGTTCCTTTGCTCATTTTTCAGTTTCATTAACTTTCGTTTCTGTGCTAAATGACATGTGCTTGATTGCCGAATGGGTTAAATTACAAAAACAATTTTACTTCTTCAGTGCAGTGCAAACAACATCTTTCAAGTTCAAGAAGCATTTTCACTTGAACCATAGACATTTAAGTCGTCTTCACGATCATAACAAGAAATAATAATCATTTCATAATTCGGTATCTGTTTCAGAGTTGGATATAAAAGGGTTTGAAACGCATGTCGGCGAAGCAGTAGTTTTACTATAAAATATAAACAAAATTCCGCAATGCATCCTCGTTGACAATGACAAAGTAATTTACGCAAGCGGTGTTCTGACGACATGGAAAACGATTATGTTCGCATTTTAGCAGACCTCTACTTCAGCTTCAAATTTTCAGGTAGGGGCTGCTAAGCAGGCTATGCCTACTTGACTACTAACTTCCTCACGAAGGCCCCTCGCTCGAAAGGTCGAATTTCTCGTCTTATTTTTCAGGTTGTTGCATCTCTACCAGAGATGAGATAAACAGTTTATTACTATAAAACATCACAGCCAATCGCTAAATTGGGTTAAACATTACAATCATGTTAGTACTAACTATAGTATTGATTTATAACCAAGAATGATAAAAGTATTTATAAGGTAAAACTACTTATATAAAATTTTTTTTGGTGTAAACAATGGGTGCTAAGGCTGTTGCTATGAGTAAATTTCGTGGTGACCCTCATAAAAATGCCATTTTCTTCATTTTTGTGCACGTTTCGAAGGAAAAAACCTCGGGATACGATGAAGGAGAGAATAAAGATTACATTTTCAGTAATTTTCAAATTTGGCAAAATTTACAAATTTATAGAAGACCACCTTATGCACCGTTCCCCAATACGAGTGGCGCAGCCATGCACGGGCCCGGCGGGTCCCGGGGCATACTCCCTTGGAAATTTTGAATATAGAGTCCCTGAAATGCCATTTAATGAATTGGGGGTGGGTGGATTTTGCAGAATTCTGATGGTCAGAAAACGCTTATAACATGAGCAAAATTGAGTAGTAGGCATTGGAATTCATATTTATTTAAGTATTTTGCAAGAACGTGCAAAGTACTGTGAATCTTTGACAAAGTGATATTATTTACATCATTTACATGGACCCTTATCTTTGATATATTGTTGTGGCGACTATACACGAATTAGCAAAGATTTGACTATGTCCTCATATTTTCATCAAGCGTCCGCGCTTAGTCAAGTTAGACCACCGATCGGCGACTTTGTCAAGATCGGTCGTGTCCGTCAGGTCACGCTCACACGAAAGAGTCAATAGTTCATTGAGGCGTTCCTGTTTCATTACTGAACGCATAACAGTTTTTACTAATTTGAGCTTTGAAAATCTGCGTTCAGCAGATGCGGATGTTACAGGCACTGTAAGCAGCAATTTGAAACATCGTATAGTCAGTGGAAACAGTGTTTCACCCCGGGTTTTCAGATAAACTAGGACGTTGTTGACTGATTGAATTTCCCAGCTTGTGGTTTTCTCTCAAATGACATCGGGACGTGGTCAGTTCAGCCTCCAAGTCGTCCTCATCCTGTCGCATCGACTCAGAAAACATAGCACAGAACCGTACCAATTCTGTATTGTCGACTGGGCCAATGTAGGGTGGTTGAAGCAAGGTCACGGCCGGTTGAAGAATATTTGTAGCCTAACAGCCTCCAGATTTGCCTTTATTGCATTTATTTGGGCATAAAGTACCGCAAATGTAATGCTCCACCAGACAAAGATTGGCTGCCGTTTCAGGGTGATCGTCGATACCGCGAGGCTTCTTGCGTTGGCGGTGATGCCTGTTATATTCGTCATCAGGATCGATGCCATGTTGTTCGGCCACAGATTTAGTCGGTTGTATCTGATTTTCCAGGCCCTCACTGTCATTGCGGATGTGTTCGAGCGTCGTAATGGTTGCTTTGAAACTTTCGATGGCATCAATTATATTCATGTCGATGCCTTGAACTTCTGTAGTGAAACACTTGGTCTTACCCATGACGTTTTTCATGAACATCAACATCACCAAGAACTTGAAAGATTTCATCTTATCCTGCAATACTCCCGCATTTACTCGTGTTTTTGTGTCGTACTTGGAGTCGATCAGGACCTCGAGGACTTCTAATACGACTGTGTAGGAGCTCCATACGGCACTGAATAGATTGTCCGCGTGCTACCCAACGCGTGGCCTACAGATTGCGAAGCATCAACAGTTCTTCGTCGGATTGTTTCACTTTCTCGCGGTAAACATCAAATCGCTTAGTGCTGGATGTGACGAAAACGAAGAGCTCTTTCAATAGCTCAAAAAGTGCACATACTGGTACACTCGCCTCGCAGCTGTGCTCCACTGACGTATGTATTCTGTGGGCCGTGCAGGGTATATATGGAATTGAATGTCACGTTCGAGATGAGTTTGCATATTTGCTTGACATCCCCGGAATACACCTAACATGGATGCAGTGAAGTCGTACGATTGGAAAGCAATACCGTCTTTATCAAGACACTTTCTGTCGAGTGATGGGATAATCGCCAGCGCTTAATTGCCCATCCCCGGCTTTATCATTGATGTCTTTGATGCCGACCAAGCGTTCAGTTGGAAGACCGGAATCCGGACAAAATATCGAGCCACTACTGCCACTTGATCAGTGTGAGACACGTCAGAGGTCGTATCAGCAGTCGCGCTCAACATTGCAGATCTATTTATCTCTTCCGTCACTCTGTTGGAAACATGTTCACCAAGCAGTTTGATATATTCATTTTGGGACTTTGGAGAAAGATATCTGGCAGCAAGAGGACGTTTGGGGGCATCAGCTAGCTACCGTTTGAAAGACCGCACATTTCTCGAAAGCAACTGCACGAACTGATAGAAATTACTATTCTCTTCGTTTTCTTCGCTAGATCCACATATGGCCAAGCCTTGACGTCCAAGTGTTCTAGTGATATCGAGCATAATTTTGATCGCATCTCTGTTACGTTCGATCTCTGCTGCACTATCATTCATCTCTTTTCGCCGAGCTTTATCCATCAAGAAGTCAATCAACTGCTGTAACGCGGCTTTGTGACTACTACAACCAATATGAGCGGATAACTTCCCTTTCTTCTTTTGTCCGACACTTTTCTTCTTGTCCCACGCGTTCTGAAAGTCTTTAATCCAAGCATCCTTGGAGTCACATTGCGGGAATAACTGACACACAAAGCAATAAGCTTTGTCTGTGTGGAGGGAATATTCTAGGTATGGATACTGTTTGAACCATTCTGATGAAAACGTACATTGTTTGTTATTATCCTTTATGTTAGGATTTCTAGGATAACGCATGAGTTTGGGCTGGATAGAGCCTTGTTCTATCAGGCAAATCCTGTCTGCGACAGACATTATGTTCCGTCTCTTTGCTGGGTCACGTACGATAGGAGAATGATCCAGAGGGTTATTAGATTTTTCTTCATATAGGACATCATCAAGCTTTGTCAGTTCATTGACAGCCATCTTGAGTGAAGATGAACTCTGAACATTTAACATAACGTAACATAACATAATTAAACTTATATTGCGCATATTACCATGCAGATATGTTCATATGCGCATTACATGAAAATCTAAAATTTAAATTACAGTTACTATATTATAGTTATTTACATCGAAAATCAGAGTTCACTTTATAAAAAAGTATTTCAATGTTCGAAGGCCATTCTATATAAGTAGGTTTTCAATGCCTTTTTAAATAGATTTAAATTGTCCATATTACGGATATATGCTGGCATAACGTTCCAAAGTTTTGGAGCAGCTGATTTAAATGCTCTCCCACCAAGAGTCGTGAAACATTTTCCTGTTGTTGGCAATAGTGTCAAACTTCCACATGATCTTAAACTGCACCTAGTATGCCTTCTAATGTTAATAAGATCCATTAAATATTTTGGGGCTAGTCCATGTATGCATTTAAAAGTTTACAATAAAATTTTATGCTGAACCTGTAAACAACAGGAACCAGTGTAAGGCGTCTAAGACGGGTGTAATGTGACTGAATCGTGAAATACCGGTGACCAATCTTGCAGCATTGTTTTGAACACGTTGTAGTTTCGTTATATGAACAGCTGGAATGCCGCAAAGCAATCCATTGCAGTAATCAATCTTACTTGAAATAAGAGCATGCACCAAACACTCCACATCCTGGCGAGTTAAATACTTTCGTATTCTACGGATGTCATAAAGATGAAAGAAAGCAGGGCTACATGTCTTGTTAATATGCTGTGAAATGTTTAATTTAGAATCAAACCAAGATCCCAAGTTTTTCGCTACAGAAGATGGCATAATTTGCCTGTCTCTCACTTGTAGACAATCGATGTTAACCTTTTCCAGCTGTTACCTTGTGCCAATGATCATAAACTCGGTTTTCTCAGGATTAAGCTTAAGTTTTTGAGAGAGCATCCACTGATGTACCTCAGCAATACAAGCTTCCATTGCTCGAACAGCATTGGCTTCTTCCAACATAGTTCCAGGTTTAAAGGATAAGTACAGTTGAGTATCGTCAGGTAAATATAGGTAAATGAGATTCGATAATTTTGAACAACTGTGGGACACCAAAACTCAGATAAAATGTTTTAAGGCAGACACCATCAATTACAACTTTTTGAGACCTGCCTGAAAGATAGGAAGAAAAGCAAGAAAGTACTGTTCCGGAGATTCCAAAGTCCGCCTGTAGTCGTTTAAGAAGAATACTGTGGTCGACCGTGTCAAAGGAAGCACTGAGATTCAATAAAACAAGTAATGTAACCTCTTGGTTGTTCATATTCATTAAAATATCATTCTTTACTTTCAGTAGCGCCGTCTCTGTACTGTGATATTTCCGATAACTGGATTGACAAAGAGGAAACAAATAATTTGAAACTAGATAAGAATGTGTTTGGTTGAAAACAGCTTTTTCAGTCAACTTTGACACTAATTGTAAATTACTAATAGGCTTAAAATTTTCGAAAGCTAAATCCAGGCCAAATGTCTTCAGTAACGGAATTATTAAAGCCTCCTTCCATTCATTAAGAAATATTCCTGATGACAAACAGTTATTAATAATAGATGTTAGTACTGGTAGCAACTCATCCAAACATTCCTTTATTATGTTAGTCGGGATAGGATCCAAGGAGCAAGATTTTGTGTTTGACTCTAAAACAAGGTGCTTGACAGCTTCCATCTCCAAAGGTTCAAATTTCTCAAATGATGATACACATGGGTCACCAAGATTGCTATAGGTACAATCATCTACACAAGCTAAATCCGCACGTAGGTTTGTAATCTTCCTTATAAAGAATTTTCCAATATCGTCAACAAATGCTTTCCATATTACTGTTAGGTGGAAAAACCATCTCGTTACTCTGATTGAAAAGTTTCCTCGTAATCGAAAATAATTTTCTTTGATTACCAGAGTTCTCACTAATTAAATTACTATAGAATTCACTTCTTGCTCTGTTCATCAAATAGGTCGCCCGATTCTTTGCCCTCTTAAATCGCTGAAAATCAACATCAAGATTTGTAGTTCTCCATCTTCGTTCAGTTTTGCGCCGTTCCCCTTTTGCTTCACGAATGCCATTAATTAATAAACCAAGGAACCCGAGGTCTAACAACTACAGATCTAACTTGAACGGGTGCATGTCTGTCAAGAATTCTCTTTAGTGTGGTATTATAACTATGAGTTAGGTCATCAAGTTCCTCAGGAGGTTGCTGACATAAGTCAGACAAACGTAGGTCTTGTTTAAATAATTGCATATTTATACCCTTGAGTTGACGATATGACATCGTTTTCCAGAGATAGCTAGGCCTGGTTACATTTAGATCACATAAAACAATGGAATGGTCAGACAAAAAACAATCAGACACAGGCAAACATTCAATAATGTTATTCATCTTACGTACGTACTACAATCAAACACTATTTAATTGCTATTTAATTCCTATTTTATTGGGCTATTTAATTCCTATTTATCAAAGTATTTATTTCCTATTTTCACTATTACTTTTTTTCGAGGTTTTTCCTATTTAAATTAGGGTAGAAAGGCTATTTTTTTCCTATCCAAGTGGAACCATATTTTTTTCCTATTCATGATATATTTCTAAATAAATACTTAATTGATGTACTCGAATAGAAAATAAATAGGTTTCAAATATGATAAAAATAGAGCTATTTAAGGAAATTATTAAAAATATTTAGTTTTGACATAGTTAATAAATATGTATGAAATAGTTAAAACATAGTGACAATATAGGTAAAAAATATGTAATAAATAGGTGAAATGTGTTTCAACAAAGTTTAAAATAGTCAATAAATAGTTCAAAAATAGTGATAATATAGTTTAAAAATAGATAATAAATAGTTCAAAAATAGTGATATTTTAGTTTAAAAATAGATAATAAATAGTTAAAAAATAGTGATAATATAGTTTAAAAATAGATAATAAATAGTTCAAAAATAGTGATAATGTAGTTTAAAATAGATAATAAATAGTTCAAAAATAGTGATAATATAGTTTAAAAATAGATAATAAATAGTTCGAAAATAGTGATAATATAGTTTAAAAATAGATAATACATAGTTCAAAAATAGTGATAATATAGCTTAAAATAGATAATAAATAGTTAAAATACATCCCAGCTTGTTAAAAATAGCTAATAAATAGTGGATATAATATTGCCCAAATAGATTAAAAATAGTAATAACATATTAAATAAATAGTTAAAATATGTCCTGTTAATACAGTTAGAATAGTTATTAAATATAGTGTATACAAATACATATAGCCTATAAATATTTTCAAAATATATTATAAATACCAGTAGTTAAACATAGATAATAAAAAGTTAAAACATATAATGTAAATAGTCTTTAAATAAAATATAATTAGTAAAAGAAATTGAGAACAAGTGTAGAAGTGCTGAAACATCAGAGGCTATTACAGACCTACTTTAGTATTTATCGTCTATAAATGCCAGACAATTTTACTTAGTTATCAGTAGGTAGAGGTCTGTCAATAAATGAGTTAAAAATCTGTAGTTAGCAGTCTCTATGGTAGCCAAAGAGTTAAGTATATACATACAGTAACTTGGCTGGGGACTGGGCAGAAGAAAAGCAAGAACATCATGTAGAATCAAGAATAGGACGAAGCTCGGCTGCAGCTAAGTTCAGGCCTTCTTTACAGGTTAGAAAAAATATTTATATATGTGAATAATACCCTGAATCTAGCTCAGGCATTAAAATAGCGAGTCCTTGTACACACTTTGTGTTTCAAAATATATTAAACAGAAAATGTATTAATGTAATCCACGCAAAATGGCCAAATATTTCCAAATTCTGTTCTCGGAACACTGGAAAAGCCATTTCAGAGACGCCCTTAAAGCTCGCGTCTTCGACGCTAAACTTGTGGCTTCGCCACTCGTTCTCGTAAGTCTGCGCATTTATACCAAAAATACGCCTCTGAAGGCAAAGTGTGTCCTTGTAAAAATTCCGTATTTTAATGCCTGATCTAGCTGGATATGTTTCAACTATCCAACATATATCCTGTATGTAGCTGGATAGTAAAAATATTCTATCTTGCACACCCCTGCAAAGAACTTCAAGTAGGTAACATAAGAGAAAATTGCTCCTTTACAGGTGTTATAGGAAATATTTAGGTGAGATATGGGCCAGCATGCCACAGTCAGTAAGTAAAATTGTCTACCATGAAATGTCAGATTTAAATAATAATATCAAAGTACTTAAGTAGGAAGTGTTATATGTCAACATGAAACATGGGCACAGTCTAGCACTCTAGCTAGACACTTCCCTTGACAAATAAAATTGTCCGGCATTAGGCAAGATAACATTTAATAACAACGTGCTGAATATTGGGCTCATTGTTGTGAAATGGGTAATTCCAAAAACAATCAAACCCTTGCCGGGGTGTCTCTAAAATATATAAAATGAAGCCCAAAGGTTGTTACATATATTATTAAGCAGATCATGAAGACATGTGGTGTACAACTAAATGTATTCATAAGTTTGAACAAGCAAACTAAAGACTTTGACTGTTTTCAGTTAGGGACATGTCTATAATCAAGTTGCCACAAATGACAACAACACATCAAATTGATATTTTGATCTATTCTAAACTGACCCACCTATATATGAATAAATATTGGAAACTTATGAAAGTACCAGTTAATTTGAAACCAGTCGATAAATTTTTTCAAACCATGTTTAGCTGGGTCATGCCTGGGTAGGCATATGAGAACTGAGTAGATGCCAAGCTATATTATTTTATACAAGAAACACTGGAATCGGGCAATCTGTCATATACACTATACAAAAAGGTCAAAGTATACTATTTGGCATTACAATAAACAACATTTAATATAAAGGCCGAGTCAAATGTAAGCCAACTAATGTTGTTTTAATTCAAATATTGTCGAAGCAAATTGAAATTTTAAGCTGGAACATGTGCTCAAAATTCACGAATGAAGATAGTAAATATTTCGTTTCAAAATTGCTCTATTTATAAATAAAACATAACAAAATTCTTACCTGGATGTTACTCAGTCATTCCTGATCTTTAATCTTTTAAATAAATATTACTTTCGCTCAATAAATGCTCTGTATTCGAGTATTTCGAGCAGAAAGTTTAAACTCAAAAATTTTTAAATATGGTGGTGTGAATTGTGACGCTATCCCAGAAAGCTTTGCGCGCGTTGTTGGAAAATTAGGCACCAGTCTGTGAGTCTGTCAAAACCGCGCTCTTCGTGAGAATTTTTGGTGGTGTTTTGTCAAGAGACAAAATACCTACCTCCACAAAGACTATAAATATTTTTGTAAATATAATTTCAATGAACTCATAAAAAATTTAAAATTAACTCAAACTGGTAATTTTTGACCAGTTAGATAAATACATTTACCCTTTCTCAATTCTCACAACTTTCTATGAATAGGAAATAAATAGCTTTTTAAGATCGAATTATTTTGTTATTTATTAGCTATTTTAACAATAGCTCTAAAAATAAAAGTAAACATAGTTTAAAGATAGCTATTTAATAGCCATTTGAAGAAACTTCGCCACAACTTTCTATGAATAGGAATCAAATAGCTATTTAAGATCTATTTATTTTCCTATTTAATAACTATTTTAACAATACTCAATAATAGCTCCAAAAATAAAAGCAAACATAGTTTAAAAATAGCTATTTTATAGCTATTTTGAACCAAAGTTTGCCACAACTTTCTATGAATGGGAATTAAATAGCTATTTAAGATCTATTTATTTTGCTATTTAATAAATGTGTTAAGAATGGCTCCAAAAAGATAAGCAAAAATAGTTTAAAAATAGCTATTTAAAACTATTTTAACTGACTCGTTTGTCATCAATAGGAATTAAATAGCTATTTAAAAGCTATTTTATAGAGAGATTGCGTCAAATACTCTTTCAAATAGGATTTGAATACCTATTTAAAAGCTATTTTTTTGAAAAATATAAATAACATATATTTCAAATAGAGTGTAAATAGTCATATCCTATTTTATGAAATTTGATAAATAGTAATAAAATAGTCATA